TCTGCTAACATGATGCTGAGTGAAAAGGGTAGGAATTGACATCAAGTGCATTCTGCTACCCGTCTAGGAGTGGTTACGGTTGAGTTCTTCACAAAAATAGCTAAGGCCATGCCCCACGGCTAAACAGGACACTAATGCAATCGCCCAAGTTTATTTTGGTCGTTGGATTTGCTAAAACGGAGTGCCCAGGCGGTGCGTGGCGATCAAATGGCTAATTTCGAAAGCTGACTCTTAAATGGCGAAAGCAAAATCTTTAGAATTTGAAATATTCGCACGCGACCTAAATATTTGAAAGGTAATTGTCAGTTAGAAAGTAGGATTTGTACACCGATTATTATGTTTAAGACGCTTACTTAGAAATCACGGCTAGAAGCCAATATATAGGCCTTGCATGATTCACATTGTAATGTTCGGTTAGTTGTCGTCGCAGCTATTTGATAAGATATTGTTTTATTAGCCTTAATTAAAACCATTTTTCCCATTACTGTGTTTCAGGTTTCTTTGAATTGCTCTCTGATGCACTATCGGGAGATGATTCCCGACAGCAATTAAGTCACCGCCATCTTCCCATAACTCCATTTCTTTTGACCCCTTTGGAGCCAAAACTCCACCCTAGGATCAAAACGACCTGTGAAGGAACACCTCATCCATTTCATTGCTCTTTGAATAACCGGGTATTACGTACAGCATTACCTAGAGCCCCACATTAGCAGCAATGGGGTTTTAAGTGGTAGATTAGGGTGGGCTCGATGCGACGTCAACACGTAGTCACATAACTTCTTTCTTAATGCCAAACAACATGAATGTGGAGAAACCATTGATAATGAAAAACAAGTTAGGCAAGGCACTGTACTGGACTAATAGCAAAGATTGTGCGAATCTCTTTGACCAACCCACTGCTCACTTTACCTCCACCTTCCTTCCTTCTCCACACAAGTAGACCCATTCAATGGGGACTTCCTTTATTGGTGGCAATGTACAAAACGGCATACGTCAATCAAGTTTAATCTAGTTAGAGCACGCTTTCTGTTCGGAATGAACAGAGCCAGACCAATACCTACTATGAAGGAAAAAAACAATTTTGCATGCCTTCTTATAGTCGCGGTACGAAAGGACTTCAGTTAGATTGGCAACCCAAATTAGTAAATAAAAAAAACATTTCTTTGGTGGAAGGGTGACACAATTGCATAGTTCAAAAGACTCAAGAGTGCATTTTAAATCGGTTTGATGTTGTTTTAATAAGTTTTCTTCCTCCAGTAGGACGCAAATCATCCTGCAATCTGCGATATGCAGTTGGGATTATAAAACACTTCCTTTTGTTCTTTGCAAGCCCCATTGAGCTTCATTTCTAACATTATAGAAGTTTTCGCCAAAGCATTAGTCCTTGAGCATTCCATGGAGTCGTGCTTCTACTTTATCTCTGCTGATCGGCTCATCAAGCAGATGTGCAGTTCAAGTGTGTTGATAATCATCCGAAGACTAAGGCTAACCTCAATTTGTAACTACAAATTCTTGTAGTGGAATTTATCAAACCTCAGGCCTAC